AACCCAAATTCACTTGACAATGGGACAATTTTTCCAGAACACCTACTAACATGTAGCAGTGTTCCCTGAAACCTGGACGGGGAAACCTGGCTACTCGGTGGACCAGTGACAAGTAGAGGAAGGAAAGAAAAGAAGAAGCATTTTATTGCACCTGTAAGAGGGCTCTGCACTGTGCCAGGCCCTGGGTGAGCACTTCCTCAAGTCATCCTTACAAAGACCTCTGCCGGATGTGAGCACCAAGCTCTGACAAGCCAGGTGCTCTTCCTAGGGACTCAAGCCCAGCCTGAGAATCACCTGTGGCTGTAAAATCCTTTGTTGCCTCTAGACTACAAACCTGCATTTGGTTTCTCCCCTGCTGTTGCCTGTAGCTCCAGCTTGCTCCTCCTTGACCTTATCAAGGACTATGATTCCCCTAGGGAGAAAGGGAAAAGTCTCTGCCTACCCCCATACAGCACCGCTGACAGTTTGGATTTGCAAAGCTGGCCGCATGGACTGTTCACCTCCAGATTAGATATAAATTCACTCAACTGGGCCTCAGTTTCCTCATATGTAAATGCAGCTATGAATGAAGGCATAAAATGCATGGTTAGAAAGATGTAACCCAACTATCTCTAGGTCCCCTCTTTAATTTGTACGACCTGGGTTTATGAAGCCCAAGTACTAGGCCTGCAATTTAGAGGTACCGCCACCAGGAGGCGAGCTGGAGCAAGACAATAGCCACGTGGGGTCCGTGGACTGGCTCTCTAACTAGGGTAGAGTATCAGGGGTTGCTTTTTTAGGTTTCCCCTCAGGTGGTACTTGGGTATAAGAGAAATTACGAAGATGGTTCTGAGTCCCTCTGAGCAAATGGGACGGCATGGATTAAAGGATGCATAACTTTTCCCCCACATGAACTAATGCTACTTAATGACCCTGGTCCCTGTACTTTAAGAATCACTGAATTCCACCATCTAGGGACTTCAAGAGCACCAAGAACGAAGAACACTGTTGGAAACAGCACCAGGGGGATAAAGTATGTCAGTTAAAAAGAAAAAAATCAATGCATGTTTTATTTTGCCTGTAGCACAGCTTCTCCCTTTCTAGAATATTCAATATCTAACCTAAAGGAGTTCGTCTTAATGTTCCGGGATGAAATCTTTAGCTGAGGCAAAGTCATGCCACATGTTAGACTCACTTGCTAACGTCAAAATTGAAATCCCTGGCTTGACTTTCAATAGCTCCCCAGCCTCCTGTTCCTCCACCACCCTTTCCAGCAGGCGGGCTGGGGGGGGGGGGTCGGCTTTGGCAACTCTCTTGCAAATACAGGAAGCCACGCATCTGAAAAGAGCTAAATAAATACAATATGGAGCTGAATGACTGTGTCCTTCCTGCCTGCCTCCTCTACTTGTCACTGGTCCACCGAGTAGCCACCAACTGGTTCTGTGTGTGCCTTCGGAAGGTTGCACAAATGGTGCCGTTTCATGCTGTAGGGCTCGTTCTGCAGACTGTCGTTTCCAAAACCCACTGTCACATATTGTGAGATCTTTCTATGCTGGCATATGGCAACCTGGGTCATTCCTTTCTTTCCCCTGCTGTACATTACCCATTTGTCTATCATCCCTCTGTGAGACGTGTGCACACAGCGTGGCAATGGGTGTCTCGTGCAGGGCCCCTCGTGTGCATGTAAGCGTTTCTCCAGGCTACACAGAAGTAGAGTTTGTAGGTTATAAGACATCCGTTTTGCTAAAGTCTTCCTTGCTGTTCTGCACTCATGATTCATGGAGTGTAGGAGAGGTCCCACTTCCCACCTCACCTACACTTGCTTTTTAATTTTAGTTTGCATCTCTCTGATCACTGGGGACCCTGAGCATCTTCCGACTCTTCTGTTTGGCTTCTTCAAGAGGTCATTCTGAACCCTTCTGTTCTAGGCTGTGAGCCTCTGGAGGAAGGGGCAGGGTCTCACATCTAAGGCTCTCCCAGGGCACAGCCCCATCCGGGCACAAATTTTTCCATCTGCCTTTCCCACCTGATCTCTGTGTCCCACCTTGGGAGCTCTACCCTCAAGCTTATCAAGACACCTGGGCTGTGTGGGTGGACAAGTACATCATGCTGAGTTTTTATTCACCTTGTGTCCTCTGTCCCAAAAGGTACGCTTCTTCCAATCCACCTGAATGTGCCTATTCGTGTGCCAAGACTCCAGAGCTACCTCCTCTGTGAAGCCTCAGACCCCTCCAAGTTGTCTTCTGTGTTCCCTCTGCCTTGTGTGAACTTCTCGCTGCATGAGCAAAACTTCTGGTCATCCATATACTTATGTATCGGTCTCTCCACCAGACTTGGCTCCCTAAAGACAGGCACCACGTCTTAATCATTTCTGAAATCTCAGTTCATTGGACAGTGCTGCTCAGAGGGTAGATGCACAGCACATGTTGGTCAGAGGGATGGATGAGCCCCAAAGCCAGCCTTTCCCACATCAGTCCTTTGCAGGCTGTAAAGCCCTTGAGGACAAGGACTATATTGGATTCACATCACCATTCCTCACAGTGCCTAACAGAGCCGAGTATTTGTGGTGTTCAGTATGTATTTGTTGACATGACAGTATGATTGTCTGCTGGAGTAGAAAATGGCTTTGGTCAGAAATTTCTGGACTTCCGGTCCCAGCTTCCTATTGGTATGAGCTTGGGTGATTTACTTGGTTTCTCCAAGCCTTCGTTTTCCCACTTCATAAAGATCTTAGCTCTGAGGACTAGTGTCAGGATGAAAGAAGGCTGTGTGTGTAAAGCACCTGACAAATAATCATATGCATCTGCCATATTATAACTTCTATGTCAGAGCAGCATGAGGTCTGCTATTACTACAATACTCAGGACGGCATGTGTCTTTAGTTGCCACTTGCAATGAGCAGATAGCTACTCAATAAAGATGAAGTCTGGTTTTCCAGCACAAGAACAGTATCTTGGGACGCCTGGGTGGCTCAGTGGTTGGACATCTGCCTTCGGCTCAGGGCATGATCCCGGGGTCCTGGGATGGAGTCCCACATCAGGCTCCCCACAGGGAGTCTGCTTCTCCCTCTGCCTATGTCTCTGCCTCTCTGTGTGTGTCTCTCATGAATAAAATAAAATCTAAAAAAAAAAAAAAAACCACCACCACCACCACAACAAAAAACAAGCATAGCATCTTGTAGAGGTAACGTACCCAATAAAGAAGTTGAGCTGAACTCCACACGTCGCACATAATTAGGTACCCAATCAATATTAAGTCACTCACTGCCCCATGCTGCATCCTGTTCCCATCCTATCTTTTTTTATTAAAGATTTTATTTATTTATTCACGGTAGACATAGAGAGAGAGAGAGAGAGAGGCAGAGATACATGCAGAGGGAGAAGCAGGCTCCATGCCAGGAGCCTGACGTGGGACTCGATCCCGGGACTCCAGGATCGCACCCCGGGCCAAAGGCAGGCGCCAAACCGCTGCGCCACCCAGAGATCCCCCTTCCATCCTATCTTTAAAGTCTTTCCTTTTTGTGGTTTCCCTTTTCCTGACAGTTATCTGCTTTCAATTTTTCCAAAGCATCATGATCACCATGGTAGTCTGTTACTGTGGTGAATCCCCTTGAACCTGTCCTGCCTGTAGTAATACTCTTGTGCAGTCTCTTACTATGGGTCTGAGCTGGGCCATATGTTCCTTTGACTACGGGGACAGTAACAAACCAGTGCAAGGTGTGATAAGCTCTTACACATTAGAGTCCTGTCCCTTTGGAAAGCCGCTTCTTGGGACACAGTCACCAAGTCAAGAAGCAGCTTAAGCTAGCCACAAGGAAAGGCCCCACACAGAAAGAGTAAAGCCCAAGCAGCCTCCAGCTATGCACTCATCCCTGCTGAGGTCCCAGGCATGCAAGAGAAGAGGTCATTTTCACAGCAGATGTCACATGGAGCAGAAAGGAGCCACACTGAGCCAAATTGCACAATCAAAAGCAAATAAATAATCATTGTTGTTTTAAGCCTCTAGGTTTGAGGGTGGTTTGGAAACACAGGAAATAACCCATGAGTGGAACATGTTTTGAGAATGCACGTCAGTGACCTGCAGGGTGGGATGTGCTGCTGGTTTGGAGACCCACCAGGTAAAGTGCTTCAAGATCAACTGGCAGACAAGACTGTCTAAACTGGAACCCCATCTCTGGGGGACTCTTCCCTGGGAACCTAATTCCCAGGTTCCTCTCTTGTTGTTACCAAAGACCCTGGTTGGTTAACGATGACTTTGTCTTAAACAATGAAAAGTTGCCCAAACTTGCATTATAAGTGGTGGCGGCTTCTGGCCAGGTGGATGGAGCAGCTCAGTGAAGTCAAGGAGATCCCAGATTGTGCCTCAGTGTCTCCAGTTCCTCCTGTCCCAGACTGTCCGCCAGGAGCGGTCTGCACTGCATCATTCCTCACTCAACACAACAGGAGAGAGGGATGCTTCCCAGCTCTCCCAGCAGAGAAGAGAATTTCCCAGAAGGTTCCACACACCCACACTCTCCTTGCATCTCATTGGCCCAAATTGAGTCATACGCCCACTTCTGAACCAATCAGTTTGTGTGTGCAGGGGGAGAGGCGAGAATTACCCAGAGACCAATCAAACCCATCCCTGCAATTGGAGGTGGGCAGCAAATGCCTGATTTAGGGGCTGGGGAAGGAATGAGTGTCTGGAAATAATTGGGGTTCAGCTAGGGAGGGCATGCAAGTAAGCTTCTGCAGTATCCTCTGTGAGACCCCTCCCAGCATGAGGGAGAGGCCAGGCAGTGCTCAGCTCCCACATCCTGCCCTGGAATTATGAGGGAAGGGGTGTATGTCTAGGCAGAAGGTCTGGGGGAGAGCTTGGGTTCTCAGGGTTTCTCTCCTCCCTTCGTTGGTCTTTCCAGCACCACAGTCTGCCCCCACCCCGACATGAAGAGAGACCACAAGAGGAGGAGAACATTCAGATGTGTGCCTTTTTTTTTTATTTTAGCTCTTTCTCTGAGTGGAGGGCACTCTTCTTGGTCGTATCTAGTACTTTGAGCTCTTGCTTTTGCTCTTTTCTCCAAATTTCTCATCCAATGCTTTCTGTAAGTTCATATTCATAGCATTTTTCTGGTGCCACCGTCCTACAGAGGGCAAGGAAAGAGCCAGCCCAGATCACCCAGAGGACATCTGGGGTGCCCGGGCCCCAGTGGTGATCCATGCCTCTTCCAGGCCCCCCCCCCCAGAGCTCCACCTGTTGCTCTGGTTTCTCTCTGCACCTTGGGGCCAACATGCCCTACCCAAGTAGGGGAGCGCCCGCCTCCCGCGCCCCAGCCCTCGAGCATACCCAGATCATCCGTCTTCCTGCCATGCCAGTGCTCTATGTCCCTCACTGATTTCTCAATCACCTCTGGAGTATAGGAGGCCTTCATGAGGCTCTTCGTCTCCTGGGGGGCCCCTGTGGAACCCCATAAAGAAATCCCCAGAAGCCCCAAGTCAGTGAAGGTCAGGCACTCAGGGATTCATACCCAGGTGTCAGTTTTCCCTACGGATGGTGAACTATGAGAGGGTAGGGATGTGGGGAGGTGGGCCTGGGTTCAAACACCAGCTCTGGCACTTATGAACAGTGTGGCCTCAGTCAAGTTTTAACCTCTCATAACTTTGGTTTCCATCTATTCAAAGGGATAAAGTTTTCCTGCAAGATTGGGAAGATTACTAGAAATTTGTTGGAACATCTAGTATGGAACAATTAATATCCATATTTTCAGAAAGTTCATTTCTAGGGGCGCCTGGGTGGCTCATTTGGTTAAGCATCTGTCTTTGGCTCAGGTCATGATCCCAGAGTCCTGGAATCGAGCCTGGTGTTAGGCTTCCTGCTCAGCGAGGACCCTGCTTCTCCCTCTCCTCCTGGCTCATGTTCTCTTGCTATTTCTGTCTCTCTGTCTCAAATAAAAAAAACTTTTTTTACAAAAGAAAATGTATTTCTTTTATATTGTATTGAATGCTAACTAAAATTTAAATTAAAAAGTGAAAATTTGTTTCTATGTGTACAGTTAAAATACACACACAAAGAAATGTTACCAGGATCAAGAGTCAGTGGAAACATCAGAGGACCAAATCCCAAAAGATAGCAGATTCAAACACTCAGTCACAGAATACAGAGTAAGTGTATTTAACAGATTAGTAAAAGAAGCAAATGATATTTCAGAAATGAAACCTTTAGTAATTGAAAAATAAATTCAATGGATGATAAGAGGCCTGGGATTTGCTTTAAAATAATGAGGGGTGGGCAGATGGGTCGGTGGGAGAAAAGATGGAATAAGATTGGCCATGGATTAATTGCTGATGCTAGGTGACAAGTGCAACATAGTGGTCATTAAATTATTCTCTCTTTTAAGTTTGAAAACTGGCATCAGAATGTTTAAGAGAAAATTCAGGGGACAGAGAAAATAGCAGATTAGATGCAGCTAAGAACAAAGTGGTCATCTGGAAGATTTAGCTAAAGGAATTAACTAGGGAGCACCTGGTGGCTCAGTCGGTTAAGCATCCGACTGGATCTCAGCTCATGAGTTGAGATCTCGATCTCAGGGTCTCGATCTCAGGGTCATGAGTTCAAGCCCTCCATTTGGCTCCACATTGGGCATGGAGCCTGCTTAAAAAAAGAAGAAGAAGAAATTAACTAGAATGCAGCACAGAGGAGGGAAAAAGATGTGGAAAATGTGAAAATGCTAAGATGAAGGTTGATTGAGGAGGTCTAATATATAAGTGTAAGTGGAGTTCTGAAGGTGAGATTGGAGAAACTGGGAGAGGTGGCATTTGAAAAGATAATCATAGCTAGAATTTTTCCAGAATTAGTGCAATATATGAATTCTTAGGTTCATGAGTTAGTTTCCCAATTCCCATATGTAAAAAGAATTCTTTAGCTCACCACACCCAAGTAAAACTTAAAATGCCAGAAACAAAGAGATCTTAGAAGTGTATAATATATATACATATATATATATTATGTATATATATTATACATAATATCATGGGTTATGATTTATGGGATAAAATAATGATGATGATCTCTATCTTTGAAGATTTACTGTGTGCCAAGTGCACAGTTCCCAGAACTTTATAGAACTTATTCACAGAATCTTCTCAACATCCCTGAGAAGTAGGTATGATTATTATCCCTCTTTCGTTGTTGAAGTCATGGAAACACAGAAAGGTTTAGTCACTTGTCTAAAGTCACACAGCTGGTATTAGAAAGATTGAGAGCCCAAACCCAGACCCTCTGTCTCCAGAATCCACAGCTTAAACTGCTTGGATTCTGGAGAATTAAAATTCTGTAAAATAATAACATATAAGCTGAGATGGGGGCAGAGAGAATAAAATTGAAGCCTGTTAGTGTCTTTACATGATCCAGGAAAGCCTAAATATCTTGTTTAACCTTAGAATGTATTAACTATGCACATAGAAATATCAAAGGTAACCACTAAAAAAATAGGGAGATTAAAGACACAAACTGGAAAGAAAAAAAAAAAAAGAAACTTCACTCGCATGCAAAACAAGGAAGGAAGGAGAAAAAAAGCATCACCAACAGAAAACATCAAATGAAGTCATAGGAATAATTCCACATGTATCGGGGATTAGTGACAATATAAATAGACTGGGATCCCTGGGTGGCGCAGCGGTTTGGCGCCTGCCTTTGGCCCAGGGCGCGATCCTGGAGACCCGGGATCGAATCCCACGTCAGGCTCCCGGTGCATGGAGCCTGTTTCTCCCTCTGCCTGTGTCTCTGCCTCTCTCTCTCTCTCTCTATCATAAATAAATAAAAAAAAAAATTAAAAAAAAATATAAATAGACTAAGCCCTGTTGATTAAAAACTATGATTAGACTCCAGAAAATATTTTCCAAATATGTATTATGTACAGCATACTTAAAAGGACACAGAGAAAGGATAAACATGGAAGTATAGAAAAAGAGTGCCAAGCACATACCAACCAAAAGCAGGCTGGTCACTTTTGGTTTTATTGATATCAGACAAATAGGCTGTAAGGCAAAGGCATCGTGAGATAAAAACATGAGATAAATCAAAACGACTGCAAAAAATAATAAAAATTAAAAAATAAAAATTAAAAAAATAAAAATTAAAAAAATAAAAACGACTGCAATTCATTCAGGCGATGTAATAGTTCTAAACCTGCTGCATTAGAATAAGTTCAAAATAGATAAAGCAAAATTGCCAGAGCTACAAGGAAAAATTGACAAATCTGCTGTCATCGGGAAAGACGTAAAGATACATCTGTAGTAATTAACAGATCAAGCAAAGAATATTAACAAGACATTAGGAAACGCATATAGGAATACTTAACAAGCCTACTCTATCAGACAAACACAGAACTCTGAACTCAAGAGATTATTTTCAAACACATATCAATCATCTACAAAAATTGACTGTCCACTGGGCTATAACGCAGGTCTCCAACAATTTTGAAGAACAGAAACCATGACAGGCCACTTTCACTAACGACACCACCATCCAGCTAGAAACCCACAGTTTTAGAGCAGTTTTCATTGTTTGGTGTTTATGGCTTTAAATGCTAACATGACAGAAAGTTAAGTTAGAAATTTGAGGGCCGCCTGGGTGGCTCAGTAGGTTAAGTTTCTGCCTTCAGCTCAGATCATGGATTCAGGGGTCCTGGGATCGAGCCTCGTGTCAGGCTCACTGCTCAGTGGGAAGTCTGCTTCTCCCTCTCCCTGTGCTCATGCTCTCTCTAGCTCTCTCACTTTCTCTCAAATAAATAAATAAAATCTTTAGAAAAAAAAAAAAGGAAATTTGGACTAAAGAGGCTCCTGGCTGGCTCAATCGGTAGAGTGTGGGACTCTTGATCTTGGGGCTGTGAGTTCGAGCCCCATGTTGGGTGTAGAGATTACTTAAAAATATAATCTGGGGGAAAATGATGTTTATACAAGGGAACATTACTCAGCCATCAAAAAGAATGAAATCTTGCCATTTGCAAAGACACGGATGGAACTAAAGAGTATAATGCTAAGTGAAGTAAGTCAAAGACAAAATACCATATGATCTCACTCATATGTGGAATGTAAGAAACAAAACAGATGAACATAGGGGAAGGGAAGACAAAATAAGACAAGATGAAAATTGAGAGGGAGACAAACCATGGGAGACTCTTAACTCCAGGGAACAAACTGAGGGTTGCTGGAGGGGATGGGGGTGGGGGGAGGGGGTAACTGGGGGATGGGCATGAAGGAGGGCATGTGCTGGGATGAGCACTGGGTGTTGTATATAATTGATGAATCACTAAATTCTACCTCTGAAACAAGTACTATGCTGTATGTTAACCAACTAGAATTGGAATAAAATCTTGAAAGGAAAGAGAAAAGAAGAAAGAAAGAAAGAAAGAAAGAAAGAAAGAAAGAAAGAAAGAAAGAAAGAAAGAAAGAAAGAAAGAATTTAGAGTGAAGGCCTAATGATGGCGGAGATCAGAAATCTAAGCAAGCTGTGAAGCAGATGCCTCTGGATGGAAATTCCAAGTTGGCATCTAAAAATCTGTCCAAGGAATTTACTAGCATCAGGGTGTGAATGGTCCGACTTGGGAAACTGGCAAGGATGATTCTGAGAGGACTTCTTTGGCTTTTTATATGCGGAGTCACCTCTCCCACTGTCAAAGCCAAGGTGGGGCCCATTTCTCATGTAAAATCGAATTAGAGGTTCCACAGTGGGGTTACCTGGGGAGCTTGATGTATAGCCCAAGAGTCTGGGGGCTACCAAGGCTTGGAGCAAAAGGCACTGGCCCAAGATGACAGGGCAGAGAGAGTGCACAGGCCAGTCATCCTTCTGCAGAGGGCAAGGGTGCTCCATAGCCCAGGTGTGGCCTCGTAGATAGAAGACCAACATGAAGTCATTTAAATTAAAATCCTACTCTCGTCTGATCCTTCTCACTGGTCTCCCTGCTTCTTCTCTCACACCCACTGTGTTCCTCGGTCCAGCCTCAACATAACAGCCAGTTGGATCCTTTGAAATCTAAGTCACTCCTCCGTACAAAACCCTACAATGTACCCAGCATGGTCATGGTCCCTCTGCTTGACTGCAATGCACAGGTGACCTGCTCCCCTACAGCAGGTCTTCACTCAAAAGCCACCTTCCCTGTGAGGCTCACCCAGACAGGTCTATTTACCATTGCTTAGAGGTCCGCACATAGAGGCTAACAGTATAAAGAAAAGCACAGAAACCGTGAGCAAAAGGCAGGTACTGCAGCAGGAGACATACTGGAAAGGATGCCCAGGTACCTGTGAAACCTGACCTGAACCTGACAGGTGGCAGAGGAGGGAGCTGTTACCCTTATGCTTTAAACTGCACCCATAGTTGGGGCACCTGGCTGGCTCAAACTCTTGGTTTCAGCTTAGGTCATGATCTTAAGCGTCATGAGATCAAGCCCCGAGTTGGGT